GCCTGAGACCAATATTGCCGTAGGCAAGATGTCCTTCGCTTCTTCCATCGCTGATGATGACATCAGGCGTTACGGCCCTCAGAACGCTGCGGACGGATTCATCAGCAGCACCGGGGTCGGCATCTTCCGCAGCGGCGGCGGCAGTAGTGACCTCAAACCTTGGCTGTCCATTGACCTGGAGGGGCTGTTCGCAATCAGCCGGATCGTGCTGTACAACCGGTGGGACTGCTGCGGCGAACAGCTCGTGAACGCCGAAATCCGTGTGGGTGGCGCACTGGTTAGCAACAGCCTCACTGCGGCGCAGATCAACCTTAACCAGCTTGTACGACGGGTGGCCGGGGCCAGCACCAGTGGCGCAATCATAACCGTCGAGCTGAGGCCCCCAGTCACAGGCCGCTACATCACCCTTCAGAACTTTGGAAATAATGCTACTGCGCGGGCGGCCAGCCTGCAAGTGGCGGAGCTGCAGGTGTACGGCACGCCAGCGGGGATGGTTCGTACGGCAAACCCGAGTTCGATGTGGATGGGCTCTCGTTGGCTGTGGCTGGGTGGAGTCAGCAGCAGCAGCAGTGTTTCTCAATCATCATCAGTAGGTAGGTGCGTGTACCCGTGTACCTCTTGAGAGTACGTACAGAGCACACAATCGCTGCCATCTTTACCGTACTACTTCACTTTCTTCAGACATTCAGCTGTTGTGGTAGTGTCGGAAGCAGATTGATATGATGCCGGCTGCTTAAGGACTGAAAGGCCGTGTGTTACATGGTGGGGCATATCCTGATTCTGTATCTGCGGTTGTGACACCGCACCGTGTCAAGTTTCCGCCTTGCTTCACGGCTCACACCGATCTCTCCGTCCGTTGTACGTGTGCTGCTTTCCCGGGCCGTATCCTATCTACTGACTTACGTCATGCTCGGCTCATGTCGTGGTCGGATTGCTCCCAGATTGCTCCCTGCAGCAGCACGGTGCGGGGTACGGCAACAGCGCCCTCATACTAGCCACCAGCACTCAGCCTGACGCGGGTGCTTGCTGCCAGGCTTGCTTCTCCCGGGTCGATTGCATCCACTGGGACTACACACCTAGCAGCCATACATGCCACCTTAGGCCGGACAGCGGGCCCCGTCTTGACGTACAGATGGATGGCGACCGAGTCACAGGCTCTCGTAATGGTAGGTAATAAACGAACGAAGTAAAGATCAATGACGTGTGCTGAAATGTATGTAGCTAGCAGCTGTACACGCTGCACGCTGTGCTGCTGTTACTGCTGTATGTCTATCTGTTACTGCAGTTGCTGCAGTATGTATGTGAATGATACTGCTACTTCAACCATCTATACTTGCCACGTGTATTTCATATTGCTGCATGTTAGTTCGTACCATCGGCCTGCCCGCTGGCATGTGTTTCCCTTCCTTTTCTTGTAGTATCTGTCGTGCAGTACGGCACACACCATCTAATACACATGCAAGCAAAATGTGAGCATATCGAGTGGCCGTTTCCGCGCCCAGTTACCCCACTACCTGCACATTCCCTTGAGCACATTCCCTGAAAACATCAAAAATTACATGCCAGCAAATGCATGTGTGTTCACGGTTAACCTCCCCTCCTTCCCCAACAACATGCCGGTACGGCACATCTACTGTGCGTGCTTTGTCATGGTTCGTGATGGCGCATTTGCGAAGGTGTGAGCACATACATCAACCATCCCCGGCTCGCACATGGCGGCTTCCCGGTCGACACAGAGGTCAGGTGGATCTCGTCACTGCCCACAGCCTTCGTGCCGTTCGGTCAACGGGTCATTGCGTCCGCCTGGCAGTCAACCACCTTCTACCGGACCTTCTGGCTGTCAGCGGAGCAGCTACAGCAGCAGCAGGCTGCCCTTGGAGGTGTTGTGACAACGCCCGTCCTCAACCTCACCATCATTGCGGACGACCTTGCGACTGCCTTTGTGAACGGTCAAGAAGTCGGCCGTACAGCCGTGTTTCCAGAACGTTCTGTCCTGCAGGTCTCGAATCTGCGGCCTGGCCCCAACCTGGTTGTGTTGCACTGCAACAGCACGGGGGGCCCGGCTGTGGTGGCGGCCTCCCTGGCCTTTGGGGGGCCTGACGGCTCCGTGCTACTGCAGACGGATCACACTTGGAACTGGCTGTAGCGTT